TGAATTTGAATCTGAGTAACATCAAAGATCAAGGCTTGAATGCTCTCAGAAGAAAACCCTGACTTTTTCTAAAAGACTTATATGTTTAATCATAGATTCCCCTCAACCTATACCCAAATTCCTTAGGGATCAAGTCATACAAATGCATTTACATTGTTGATAATCTGCCTAAAATTATTGAGCTCTGTAAAGCTGCAGGATCTTCCAGCCTTTGAGTGCATCAGTATCAAAAGCGAGAAGGATCCTACAGAGCGCAGCAATCCTCTTGGCTGACCCTGTCCCCTCACTGTCATTTTTGTCCAATGATGAAACAGACATCTACAGGTTTGTAACAGAGGACAGAGCTGACCAGTAGAGACAGCGTTGCCACTAGGCGCCATCATGGCCCCCTTTTATGCAACCTGTCTAATTACCGTTTCTCCAAGGCCACACTTACAGACTCAATCCTTAGATTATCATTCCTTCATTTATCCCAACTTTATTCACTAAAATGTACCCTATAAAATCCTGCACTTTAATTTTTAATTTTCTTTTTAATTTGAGTATAATTGACACATAATGTTTCATGGTGATTTGACAAGTTTATATGTTATGCTTTGATTACCACTATACCCACTGTCACCATACAATGCTATTACAGTATTACTGGCTCTATTCTTTATGTTGTGCCTGCCTCTTATTCCAGTGACTTATTCATTCCATAACTAGAAGCCTGGATCTCCCACTCTCATTTATCCATTTTGCCCAGGCCACCACCCTCATTCTCTCTGGCAGTCATTAATTTGTTCTCTGTGTTTATGGCTCTGATTCTGTTTTTTGTTGTTGTTTATCCATTTATTTGTGTTTTGTTTTTTAGATTCCACATATGAGTAAAAACATGATATTTGTCTTTCTCAGTCTGGCTTGTTTCTCTTAGCATGATACCGTCTAGGTCCATCCATGCTGTTGCAAATGCCATGATCTCAGCCTTTTTGTGGCTGCATAATATTCCATTGTATATGTATACCATGTCTTCCTTATCTATTCATCTATCAGTGGCCACTTAGGGTGGCTCCATATCTTGGCTATTATAAATAATGATTCAGTAAACATTTGAATTAGTGTTTTTGTTTTCTTTGGGTAAATGCCCAGTAGTGGAGTTATTAGATCAATGATATTTCTATTTTTAATTTTTTGAGAAAATGCTATACTGTTTTTCACAGTGACTGTACCAATGTACATTTCCACCAACACTGCATAAGGGTTCCTTTTTTTCTACATCCTCACCAACACTTACAACTTCTTGCGTTTTTTACTTTAACCATCCTAACAGTTGTGTGGTGATATCTCATTGTGGTTTTGATTTCCATTTCCCTGATGATTAGCGATGTTGAGCATCTTTTCATGTGTCTGTTGGCCACCTATATGTTTTTTTTGGAAAAGTGTTTACTTGGGTTCTGTGCCCATTTTTTAATTGGATTGTTTATGGGGTTTTATTTTGGATGTTAAGTTAAATGTGTTCTTTATACATTTTGGGCAAGAACCCTATATCAAGTATGTCATTTGAAAATATCTTCTCCCATTCAGTAAGTTGTATTTTTGTTGTGTTGATGGTTTCTTTTGTTAAGAGAAAACTTTTAATTTTGATGTAGTCACACCAGTTTCTTTTTGCTTTTGTTTCCCTTGCTTGAAGAGACATATGTAGGAAAATGTTGCTTGCTACAGTCGATGTCATAGAAATTATTGCTCATGTAATCTTCTAGGATTTTATGGTTTCAGGTCTCACATATAGGTCTTTAATCTATTTTGAGTTTACTTTTGTGTATGATGTTAGAAAGTGGTCCAATTTTATTCTTTTACATGGAGCTGTCCAATTTTCACAGCCCCATTTACTGAAGAAACTATCCTTTTACCTTTGTCTATTCTCACCTCCCTTGTCATAGATTGACCATGTAATTGTTGGTCTATTTCTAGGCTTTCTGTCCTGTTCTATTGATTTATGTGTCTATTTTTGTGCCAAAATCATACTGTTTTGATTACTACAGCTTTGTAGTATATCTTGAAATCTGTAATTATAATATCTCCAGCTTTGATTGATTTGGCTAGTCAGGATATTTTGTAGTTCCATACAAATTTTAGTATTATTTATTCTAGAAAAACTCATGTTTTTTACAGTAGATCCTCATAAATATCAAAGATTCATAGATTTGCTTTGTTATTTTGAAATAATTTATGATTAGCTGTGAAATATTAATAGCTTCAGTAATAAATAATAAACAGAATAAAACCAAAACCCCATTATCCTGTACTGGGGTATATGGAGAATGCATTTACTTTTCTAAAAAAGTTATATATAATACTCTATACATTATTCTAGCAAGATGTAGAAGTAAGATCTCCAATGTCTATATTAATGGCCAAATTTGATACATTTTAAGATCATTCTCATGAAAGCAGCTGATATTATATTTCTATAGAATAGTGGAGATAAGGGATTTTTTAATTCAAATTTTTATTTCAAATATTATTGAAATAGCTCTTTTATTCTCAACTAGATAAATTTTTATATCACTCATGTAGATACATAAACATGAAAGTATGAACAAAATAATTAAGAAACTTAATTTAATTACTTTAGTTAAGGATTTCTTTTAAGTTTATTTATTTAGAGGGTGAAGAGAGAGAGAGAGAGAGAAGGTCCCAAGCAGGCTCTATCCTGTCAGCACAGGGCCCAGTGCAGGACTGCATCCCACATACCACGGGATCATGACTTGAGCCAAAATCAAAAGTCAGATGCTTGACTAACTGAGCCACCCAGGCACTCTTTTAGTTAAGGAATTTTAATTTTTTTTTAAGTTTTATTTTATTTTTGAGGGAACGAGAGAGAGAGAGAGAGAGACATAGTGCAAGCAGGGGAGGGGCAGAGAGAGAGGGAGATACAGAATCCAAAGCTGGCTCTAGGCTCCAAGCTGTCAGCATGGACCCCAATGTGGGGCTCGAATTCATGAACCGTTAAGATCATGACCTGAGCTGAAATCAGATGCTTAACCGACTGAGCCACCCAGGCTCCCCTAGTTACAGAAGTTTTAAAACAACTTTCATGTAAACATTTTTATGAGGTATAACTGAAATACAGTAGTGCAAGTACTTAATGCATACAATTTGATAATTTTTAATATACGCAGTTAACAATTAAGGATTGTTAAACCATCTCCACGATCAAGCTAACAAATATATCTATCACTCCCAAAAGTTCCTTTCTATTCACTAAAATCCACTTTTCCCTTTACCCCATCTTTAGGCAATCACTGATCAGCTTTCTTATTTAAATATTAGCTTGCGTTTTCTAGAATATTATGTAAATGAAATAGTAAGTACTCCATAGATACTTTTTAAAATTTATTTAATGTATTTGCTACTTTCACTCAGCACAAAGAATTTGCAACTCATCCAAGTGGTCCCAGGCATCAATAATCCATTCTCTTTATTGTTGAATAATATTTCACAGTGTAGATTAACTAGATTTGTCAATTTACTTGTATGAGTCTTTTTTTTTTTTTTTTGGCGTAAAATACAGGCCCTTAATTCTCTCTGTTCATTATTTTTGGGAAACTGATTAGTCTCTCTGATCTTTATTTTTCTCTTCTAGAAAAATATGAGTTTAGTGTTTGTCTCATGGGAGTTTTGTGAGAATTAAATCAATGAGTGCATTGCCTGGCACATAGTAAATACTCTACAAATATTAACTTCCTTTCTAAGTTATCACTCAGTTGCCTTACTGGTATCAATGGTCAGGTAACACTTCCCCTCCTATTAAAATGTTTTCACTCTTTTCTAATCATTTTAATGTTCACTTAGCTTGAACATTACCATGATGCTAGCCAGCCCTATTGTCTGTCCAACAGATATAGGAGTACCAATATAGTTAGCTCCTTAAAATACAATCCTTCTTTTGGATTATACTAGCTTCAGTAACTGACAACAATTTATTCTAACGCTGGACACATGTGCCAGACTAGCTATGGGATGTCTATAGGTGAGACATAGAGACAACAATCAGGCTAGAAGGGGAGCTGTTTCTACCAGCTGGAAAGCTGTGTTTGCATTGCAAATGTTCTCTTTTAAATGAGGTAATATGTTCATTTGATGGGTTTGTGGAGAGGGGCACTTGAAAAGGATTATGGATTTGAGGAAGCAGCTAAAGCCTTCCTGGGCCACCCACTGATATTGCTACAGTTCAGTTCTCTTCATTTTCTTTTCCAAATTATTGTTTCCTTACTGCCACTCCTTTAAAAATTTCCTGCCTACTCAGACTTCTTCCAGTAAAGTAAATATAAATAAATAAATGGTTTTGATTTCCTCTCTCTTCATATTCTTCATAAACATTATGTCCAACCGAGCTACCGAACCTAGTTCAGTTGACAGTTGGCAGCGCACAAAGGAACTTCAATTTCCCTTCTTAGGTATTGTGAGCGGGGATATCAGCTAGGACTGAACGCAGTGCAAATCAGGCAAGGCCAACATATTAGTCAATGGGACCAGGTTAGTTTGCCCTAGAGCTAATTCTATTAACTTAAATATGATTTTTGTTCACCAAAAAGGGCTGCTGGTGTTAGTGTGTAGCTGTGAGTTGAGGTGGGGTGGGTAAGAGACCAGTGATAGTGTGAATGAAAACAGCATATACATTAAAGATGCTTAGTTGGCAACATCATTTCTACATCAGGAAGACTGTATCACATTGCCCTTAGGAGTTCCTTAATGGAATTAGGAAATCCTGAAGTACGAGTGTGCTGCCTATGAACTTTGAAGTCCTCTGGTATGCATAGTACTGTCCACATACAGAGGCCCCAGTTGATAAAAACAATTACAAAGTGATTACCTTCTTCTTCACTATTCAGAGAGGTTGAAATTATCTGTTTCATTTCTGCACCTTAGTGATTAATAGGAATGTGCACTCCATCAAATTTTTTCTTGAAAAAGATAAATTTAAAATAATATAACGTGCTTTTTTATTTTATCAGGATAACGCCATAATATGCAGAAACCTACAAATTCTGATACCTCTGTGGATACCCTGAATTCCACCCGTCAAGCCACCGGAGCTGTGCAAATGAGGATCAAAAATGCCAACAGCCACCATGACAGGCTGAGCCAAAGTAAATCCATGATCCTCACAGATGTTGGGAAGGTCATTGAACCCGTAAGTCAAATGCCCCAAAACCCCCACGTTCACTGATACAGAGTTCTGTTAAAAAAAGCTAATTAGTTTTGTTTTATTTGTTTTCCTAATGTGCACAAGAAAACTGTTTTTGTAATGCATTTTATCTTGCCTACTTATAGTCATAATAATATCCCCAGTTGCGAGAGAAGAGCTGGGCTTAATCCAGAGTGATAAAGTGGATTTGGAGCTAGACTGAAGAGCACCTTTGACTCATTTTAAGGGCCTCCACTATCATGCTTCAGTGTTATAAAAATAATGAGGTTATGCTAGCATGTGGTGTTTGTACTTCCAAATACAGTACATCACTTTGAAAAGCCAGAGGCTAAAATTAGCTAAGAATGAACTGAGGGGGAAAAATATCTTTAAAAATATGTGAAAATATCTTCCTTAAAATCTCCCAACAATATATAACATTGGAATTACGATTTGATTTGGAATGAGCCTGAATGATTGAAATGGGGTGGCGATTGAAGGTTTGGAGAGGAAGCCATTTTGTCTCGATAATGTGTCATTAGGAAGATTTGAAATAAAATAGTTAGAGATGAACTCTACTGCCAATTGTGTCCCTGCCCCTGCACGCATCCTGAGCCACTAAACACACTGATTGCGATGAGTCTCCTCTGGTTAATTTTCTTCCATAATGGTGGTAACTTGCAGCTGAGGCCATAGGATGTTACAAAATTATTTATGCAGTGTTAGCCACTCTTTTGGACCCCAGATCTATTTTGTTTCTCACAGTGAGAACAAGAGCGGGAAATAGGTTAGCTGGGGAAGGGCTGTGAGTCCCAGTCACTCTGCAGAAACAAGTGAGCTATTAATTGAGTGTTCTGTTAATATCGTAGGGGCCTATGAAATATTCAGTGCCCTAACTGAGTTATTAAATGGGATAAACTTGCTGGGTGGCACGTTACTGATTATATTTATTCTCTGTTTTCACTCGAATTTCAAGTGCAAAATTAACCCACAACCATCTCAGGAGCCAGGATTTGAATCATTCTTTCTTCAGGTAGCATAGACAAATTTAGCATGAGGAAGCTGGTGATTCCATTTTGGGAGCAGGAGACACATCCTGAGATAAGGTACCGAGAGATGCGAGAGATGCGTTTCTCTTTATTGACTTTCTCATTTAAAAGGATTGTCTGCTGGGAGGCACAACACTGCTGGTTTTTAAACCAGCTAAAATGTTCCTCAACTATGAACTTGAGACATGGTTAGAGTAAATTATTGGAATCTCTATAATGTATTATCAGTAAGAACTGTACCTTTGAAAAAGTTTAAAAGTTAAGTATATTTAATGATGCCTAACATATTTTATTGGCTGTGTTTAACAAAAGGCACTATGCCACAGTTGTTTTTGACAAGCATGAAAACATCACAGCATGAGACTGCAAAAGGAATTATGGAGAGAAATTACAAGTGATCCATCTCTCAATGAATTATCCACCTCAATAGCCCGCAGAACTCAGCTACCAATTAACACCTACTTTATTACATGTTGGGATGTACTTAATAACTTTCATGTGTTTATGCACTATTACCTTGACTGATGCCTCTTGTACAATTAGGCATAATTGGCATATCAATATGCAAAAGTTAAAAGGATTAACCCTCTTAAAACTAATGAGCATTTCTGTATCCAGCTGCTAAATGAGACAAAATTAGCATTTTTCACTTTTGGGCAGGATTTTATCATGCAGTTTCTCATTGTTGATATTACCTTGTTACATAACTTTAGTTTGGGGGGTTATATGCTGGACTGCTAGAGAAGAGTTTTCCAAAGTTAAATTAGCTATAATTATCCCAGCTTTTGTTTCCGCATTCTTAGCCTGGGCAATATGTATTCCTCGATAAGGAACAAAAATAAAAGTTACTTTTGGTTATGTGTGCTCAGTGCATAATTATATAAAAGGGGTATTTTAGTGAGGATATGTCATTTCACCGAGAAAACTTGGCGCAGAGATACTGTATTGAAAGCTTGCCATGGCACTAATTTTCTTTCTGTCTCGGTTCTTTTCATCTTTTTTCCATGCACAATTTTCTGACTAGATACTGACAGAATGTAAAGTATTTTGGCATATTTATTCAAACAAGCCTGTTAAAGATATCTACTCAAGCTAAACTAAGAACTTGATTTTTCAGAAGTTGGAGGTTGGGGTGAGGTCAAGGGGGGAGATCTTGAACTTCCGAGAGGTGGGAGGAGATATATTGTAAAAACGCGTGCACATGTCACATGCAGCATGGTTTGTTGTCACGGAGACACATGCGTTTAATCTGTACAGAAAAAAAATCAGGACTAGAGTAGTGCTATGTATGTTATGCACTGTGTTCAATGTATATGGCACATCTGTGCTACGTGTTCCCTGGCATAACGAGTATACAAACCTAATATGGACTTATTGGAGCATATAACACAAGAATCTGAGATTACATTCATCACGATTTAGCTTATTACAGAAAGTGATAAAAGGTTCTAGGGTCAAATCAATTATATAATTTTGTCATTAATTCATAAAATCCTCTTTCTTCATCGTGTTCAATTAAAACTGTGTTTAATATGACTGTGAACTCAGAACACCACATAAAATCCTCCCATATGCATCAAAAGAGCCTAGATTCTTGGTATCCTAAACAGAGGAACAGTTTGAAATGTCAATATAAACACTTATTTGACCCCGTGCTATGCAAACACAGGTGATTTACTTATTAAGTTAAAGTTTTCATTACCTAAGTACTGCAGGGAAACATTTCCGTACAACAGGCATCAATCCTCCATTAGTACTTCCTTGGCGGCGTGCATCGTGTTCCTTAAAGACCAAATAATCATTTTTATGGAGTTGATAAGATCAATGCCTTTTCAGGTTTAAAGAGGCCACTCTACTGCCTGGGAAATGTTGGAGAGGGGGGAAGTTTGGACATGGGAGGACTTGGTTAGCAGAAAATTGCCTCTCTGTAAGAGAGATCTGGAGACCTCTGCTTGGTGGGGAAGGAAGGCTCCTTGGTCTCCGTGATTTGTTGTCTCATTCTGAGCACCGGAGTGAGACCTTTTAAAGGTGGACTGCTTATTTACTCGAATGTGCTAAACACAGAAGCAGACGGCTTAGTGAGCGTAAATGGGGGGCAAGTGAAGTGTGCCTCTTTAAGGGCTGAAAGGCTAATGTGCAATCCAGCAAATAGCTAATGCAAAAGGTTTAATGTGGCTTTGATGTTATATATAAGAGGGACGCTCCAGCCTACTAGACAGTTTAGAATAGATATTAATGAAGAGTTTAAATAGCCCAAATCAGGAAAATTGCAGACATAGGATTTGCAGACAGGAGCAGTTTCAGCATTTAATGCTGGTGTCTTAAGCAGCAACATGTATGAATATTCACCATCTCCATCTTGTAAACTCCACAGAAGTGCAATACTTAATTCATGGCCATCACGGACAGGGGAATATCTTTTTATTACTGTTAGGATGAGGACTTAGGTCGAACCCTTCCTAAATGCTAACTCAAAAGACTCCTTTTGCTGCCATTAACAGACTGTGCTTGTTCAATTTTCTTTTTTAATATATTATAAAGAAAAAGAGGAAACAATTTTCTTTTGTTTCATACTTCTGTGATTATAGGATACTTGCCAAAGTTGTGGCTAGCCAAAAAGGCAGACATAAAAATTGCTACTAAAAATATAAGCCTTCTGTTTCGCAGAGTTTTTGAGAAATATTATGAGACTGTAGGACTTGTCCATGTTTACTTCAAATCCAGCTTATAGTTAGGTTTGAGGCTTTGTTTGTATAAATTGTCCTGAAGTGGATCCTGATATTTAATTAAAATGACACTAAATCACATTGAATTGATAAGACTTGGCATCTCAAACAAAGGTAATTGCCCGTATTGGTTTTCTGCAAAAATAGCGCTGCTTGGAAAATGTGCAGCCAACACAGACTGTCAACTCCATTTATAGATCAATATGTGAAAACCATTGATCAGGCAGGCATGTATAACAGTAACACTTTGCATTTATTTGTTGTTTTTATACCACATTAAGGCTTACAGGATTATAGGCTTCCTAAATATTTTGACTTCCTCATAAATATATGATCTGTTGCATGTTAATTAAATGAGAGTCTGCAGCCATTTCTAAAATTGTTTTTAGTTTGATGATTTCCTTTTATTGCTGTGGATCGTATGATCTGAAAATGGATTAGTTTCCTTCTGCATAAAGATTATTAAAGCTTATTTTAATGTGTCCTATTTAGTGTAAGATGTGGCTGCCTTTTTGCTTTGAAAAATATAGATACAGACAATTATTTTCTCTTAGCGAGTAGCTGATCTTTTTTATTAACTAAGCATTCTCAGAGCTCAGGGTAGAATTATTTCCTGACATATTTTGCACACTCTGTAGATAACAGGTCTTCTTGATTTCTCCTGATAGAATTTGTTTTTTCTTTTCTTTTTATCTAGGTCTGTAGCACAGGCATCTGATCAAACATTATGTAGAAAATAAACTGATCATCTCAATTAAATTCTAGACACACACAAATATAATTTGAATTCTGTTTTTCTCATTCGAGAACAAGCCTTATGAACTGTTCTTGTACACTGCATTCTGCAGTTAAATCTTTCTTATCTCATCAATGTAAGGACAGTGTTTTGTTCCTAATCTTTATTGGACTATTGTGGATGACATTTGTAAGCCATTTTGGTTTATAAGGGAAAGCTAGAGGACAGTGGAGTGAGACTCTCCCATAGATCCAAGCCTCAGATATGACTACGCAATAATGTGTCTTCCAATGCAATTTTCTTTGCCACAGAGAGGTCAATTTTGTTGAGAAATCTTTTTATATCCTCTATATACATTAGAAGTGCTGCTTTCGAGACAATACTTGGCTTTATATACAATATTAAAGCAGCAATAAAAGAAACAAGGCTTCAGAAATAGAAAAAAAAAAAATCATGAGACTCAAGGGTTACCTAAGGTAACTGCTGTACAGCAGA